TCACTCCGAGTTAAACAAACTTAATTGTTGACCATATACATCTTTCAAAACAATAAATCTAGATATTTGATCAATTGCGGTCAACAGTTCTCTTTGATACAATCCCACATAAACAACAACAAGTTGTTTCGTGTTTGAATCCCAAGCAGAGCAAACGCGACGTAAACTCACTCCTTACACAAGCATTTAGCGTTACTGGAGAAGTTAACACGATCATAAATTAAAAAAAAAACTATGTAGTAGTAGCAGTATGAACAAAAGCACTCACTAATTAAAATACATAGTACAATCCTCTTCATAATGCAGCTCAACATGTCTAGTTTCAATGTTTTTTTAAGAAGGGTATAATCTTCCAACAAAGGCGTACGTTTTTATATACGCTTAGGCGTACATTACGTTCTCCAATTTTTATTATATTGACGCAACAGTGGAAGTGGATAGGTAAAAATAATGACCCGACATGTACAGGTTGTTGTTTTTGATGCAAGATTTTGAAGAAATTTTAAACAGCTTGAAGCTGAAAATTTAAAAGATCTGAACGGGTGCATAAATGTTACGTAGATACACTCACGTCTGTGTCGTTGAAGGTTAGGTAGAGGTTAGGTATTATAATAAAGATATTATTTGTATGATTATGTATTATATAAGAGGTTATGTATTATAATAATTTTTATTTTGTTTTTGGTTTCCTTTACACTTTTTTCTCACCAAATCTGCCCATGAAATTACCTATTTACAGTCTATTTGTCCATGCAAAGGTTGCCTGTAAGATATTGCTTTTTAGCAATAAGGCCGCCATTTGTACATGGTCATTAACTTGGAATACTATTCTATGTATAATATCCTGAATTGGTGTACAAAAAAGATTATTCTATTCTATTCTAAAGACATACATTTTGCAAACCAAATTTGGGGATACTAGATATCAGGAACTGCTCCCTAGAGTAAGGTGCCTGAGGCTGACCGTCAGGATGATTTATAGTGGAAAGGCCACATACTCCTGTATCCTGCGTTCCCAAGGAATCGGAAATTCGCAGGGATTTTCCACACAGTCAACAAATAAAAAAAGGGAACCATAAAGTGTAAGCCTATCAAACATACACTTTACGTATAAACAATAAAAAAATACGAATATGACAATAAGGTAATGGAAGGAGTGGATTGAGGATTGTAAGCAGTAGCTCGCACTGATCAGAGTTGTATACCTATAACTAGAAGAAAGCTGTTAGCGGTAATTCCAAGCACGATGGTTCTGAAGTTAAAGTGAATACAAGTTATTAGACTTCTTTTTAACTATTTCAACGACCTATACATTGCAGCCTATAGAGTTGTTTTAGTCATATAAATACTATTAGAGATACAGTGTGACAACAGTGTACCTAAGTCAATTAAAATGTAATTTAAATTTACATAAATGTACACTTTAATTGAGTTTCATTCTGGATTTGTACAAAACCTTTCTTCTCTGTCGTGTCGCTCTTGGCAGAGCGGTCGTGGTCACATTGAGACGTCCACGCCGGCGGCAGAGGCGGACACAGCCCTTCGTACAATCGCCCGCCATCTCTCCCTGTTGGCAGACTGTTGGATACAGTCAGACAGTGGCCTCCCATTGCGGATCTCACCTGGTCGGTCGCATAGGTACCCTGTCGCGGCAACTGTTTCCCTCCACCTTTCCCTGCACTACCAATCGCTATATGGAGTCGCTATTCCGCCTAGAGTCATGGCCAAAATGCTGCAGTATGCGGGACTGTGCTGTGGTTAACAAACGGTCTGTGATGCCGAGCTCCTGGAGTATGGAAACGTTGGTGCAGAAGTCCGTCCATGATTTCCCGGCATGTTCCTCCAGCACCACATCTCTAGAGCGTCTACCTTCTTCTTTTCCATATCACACACAGGGCCGTAATCCCAGAGCCTGTACTGAAGTAAACAGACTGTTGATAAACATCCATACTTAAATTATAAATGTGAAAGTGAGTTTGTTAGTTTGTTACTCTTTCACGCCTAAACCACTAAACCTATTTTGACAATCTTTCACCAATAGAAAGCAACATCACATCAACAGCCATTACTAGTCCACTGCTGGACATAGGCCTCTCCTTAGAAAGGAGGTTTTGGCCTACTATACCACGCTGGCCATACGGGTTGGTATAGAGTTTGTGTCAAGTTTTCCTTCTGTCTGCAGTGCTGTTGCCCTGCGTAGTTTGCTCCCTTAGTCTCTTTTTACGGCACCCACGGAATGAATAGGGGTGGTGACACGCTTTCACGTCTAAACCACTAATCCGATTTAAAAATGATTTAACCAATGGGAAGCTACATAGTCAGCGACTACCATACACAGGTCCGAGTCTGAAGAACTACAGTCCGACCCTTTGATTTCAAGGCAAAAAGGAATTTCATTTGATTATGATCATCGTTACAAGTGATACCACCGCTTGCCGCTAGAAATGTGGTGTTATTGATAATATATCTGCTGCTTAGCAAAAATATTATAATTTATTGGACTGACCTCCTAAACTCTTCTTCGCAGTAATCAAAGTGACTTTAGAAGACTTCCATTTTATTTTAAAAAGTGCTCTACTTAGTTTTGATATGTCTCCAAGTGTAACATTTTAGTTACACTAACGGTCTGCTCATAATCCGAAGGAAATCACCACAATGTTTTTTTGTGGCTGGACATAAATACACATATATAATACTACTAGCAGTTTACTGTAACTTTATTATAACAATCTCACTTGTTTGTTTTTTTTATATATTCAGGTATTGTTTATGGGTCTGGGATGCGCATATGAAAATTAACAAAAAAATCCTTTAAATTTCGTTTAGGAGGGGTTTGAGGAGGTGGAAATTTGTATGGGTATCAATAACCACTAAACCGAATTAGATGAAATTTAGTATGGGTTTAATTTGATTCTTGAAGAAGGACTTAAGATACTTTTTACTGAAGAGGACTTAAGATATACCCGAAATACTCGAGGGCGGAACCGTGGACAAAAGCTAGTTTCAATATAAATCCAATTTTCCATTCTAATCCTTAGTTTTTGCTTGTTAGCAATAGAATAGCCACATATTACGTTAGTGACAGTAAGATTATAGTTGTCAGGTTATGGGCTTCAAATAGACCGTTGCTTTCACCTTTGAGGATATGATATTAAAGATAGAAATAGTCTAGATTCAATATTTAAATTTTCGGGGAAAGTCGCAATTGGGGCATAGTGTCACTAACCCAAAGAAACTAACTTGGGATTATATTTATTATGAGAGATGAAGAGCCACTAGTCGTAACATTGTGTTCAGTTTAAATAATATGACTATATAATCATAATTATTCAAAATGAACAAACAGACACAGAAACGTAATAGGAACGGTAATAGAAAAGCTATGACTAAATAAATCAGCTTGAACGCAATTGGTTTAATTTTTTTATATTAAATTACTTTCTTTTGTATAGATGCCAATTTTTACACTGCGCGGTAACAATTATATTGTCAACTAGTTGAATAGGATATATTTTGCACATTTTTTTCATATATTTTATAAATATTTTATTATTATTAATTGTCTACAACTTTGCGTTTTGAACTATATGATATAGTTTCACATTCGAACATTCTTAAATTTTGCCCCATCTTTTTGTAATACTTTGTATCAGATTTATTCGATACTGCTACCTGAATAATCACATCTTAAAAGACGTTGTGTTCACACATTTTCTGATGGCTTCCTTGTACGCAGGCGTAAAGACACGTGATGGCATAGAGGAGACGAAGATTACAGAATATACTGTACTCGTATACTTGTGATTTATCTCATTCTCTCGCAGACTAAATCGTATTTATGAATAATGTTTGTCTCTTTTTACGAAATTTCACTTTAAAAATTAAAGCCAAGTACAATACTTTTTGATTTCGCTGTATTGGCTGTAGTGTTTTTTTTTGTTCAATATAATTTACAGAAACAAAACTAATTTATTTGATAGATAACACCCGTACATCGGCTATGAATTTTAATGAGCGCATTGACTCTGTGTTGGTGAATTTTTAGGAATATTCATTTAAAGTAAAATGTGTATAACGTTGTAGGCTACACAATTATACATATCTACCTTACATTTTAAAATCTTAAACTAAAAAAATATGTAATTGTTTGTTTTCCCTAATAAAAAAGTAATGGTTAAAAGAGAATGGCGAATAACGAATGATCGTTCCGGCACTTCAAGAAAGAAGTGATGGTCTGATTGTATTGTGAAGGCGAGTTTGATTATAATGTGAAATAAGAAGATACATCACTTGGTTACCAGACAATCGAGAATATTACATTTGGTTCGAGTCACTACCGTCCTGAAAGTAGACAGGGTCACTAGAGTATGACGTTCTTCACGAGGCTTAGTTTTAATGTGATGTTTAGCCTGTGATAAATTATGTGCCGAGATTTAGCTATATTTATGTGTAGCAATCAACTTTAAAACGGAAGGCAGGATGCATAGCCAGATGGACTGACGAACTGAAGAATGGAGCTGAAATGGGCTTGTTGGAGAACTGCTAACTGAATGAATAATAATACCTTAATGTTTATCAATAATAATGGTGTTAATGTTTCTTAGTAGTAGTAAGTTTTTTTCTTCAAATGAGATTTGAACAAATGACCCAACGGCAAGTATATACAATTTTAAATACAAGGATATAATAGTGAAACGACACATTCGACTAGCGCTTGTACAAGAATAAACCAGTGATTATAAGTTCGTGTTTTATTGATATGGCCTCCTAAAGTGGTAACTTTGACTTAGCGCCGACGTATATTATAACCCAGGTGTTTGATTTGCGTGTCACTTGAACCAGCCGCGCTCATAGATACTGCAATTAATAATAATCGGAGAAAATATTGTTTTTACTGAAGATTTTACTGAGAATTTTGCTGAAATAGAAAAAAAGTGTTAACGTTCTCCATAAGAAATGGACCTTTATAGATATTGTAACAAATTGAAATATTCGGAAGTTTATGTTGTGGGACATGTGCAACTTGAAGGGTTCATTCCAGCGGGGCCTCTTCCGTATTCCGGTTCTGCATTCGTACACAAGTAGAAGTTGCCGGTAACACTGTAAAAATAAAATATACCTGTCTATATTTAAAGGTTTCTACTGAGTTACACTAAAAATAGAAACCGAAGAAAAAAGATTCGGTCTATTAACAAACAATCGTCAGAAAATTCTTCGTCGTTCTGATAGTTTCCCAGAAGGTTAACAGCATTGCCACTTTGAATGATACTCCCAATTCTCCGTGCTACGAGTTAGTTCTGTGCTAGTTCTAGCTAACCCAAAAGCCGGGTACTCACTAGCGAGCCAAAAACCACTACTGTTATCAAAAAACATAGTGTGTGCGTGGTTCACAAACCTGCTGCGAGCGGTATGCGTGCCGCTAGCAGCGAGCCGATGATTGCAAGGTACTCATTCTTTAACCGTAAAGTCGGGTACTCACTAGCGAGCCGCAACCGTTGCATGTACTATTACGAGCTGCGAGCAGATTAATTTCTGAATCAGATTAAATGTGAATAGGGCCTGGCTTGGCACGGCGTCTATACAAGGGGGACCTGAAATGACTTGGTCCGGATCCTCACCAGAGTAGGGCGCCTAAGAGCAGACCAGACCAGAAACACCACATTCTCTTAGCTTCTGTTCTCCGAGGAGCCGGAGATTCAAAGGAATTTCCACCACGTCAACAAAAAGCGTCCCCGAACAAGAATAATAACTATTACAAATTCTCCTATAATCCTCTATGCGTTTCTATGGATTTTATATTAGGTTTTAATTATTAAGATTCGACAAGATTACAATTTCTTGAATAAGTTACCTCGGTTTGATGTCGGACCCAACGATGTTTACATTATTCAGATCTGGGGTGTCACTACTTTGTGTAAATTCTTCGTAAGTGGCAGCTTTCCTACCTTGAAGACTCGAGTTCAGTATTGCTTCGGCCATGTATCTTAACGCACGTTTATGACTGCAGAGAACTGTTAACAATAAGTTGTTTTATTAGATTGTACACCTTATATTTTACTACTATATACTTAATTTAAACTTACTATTATATACTTAATTTAAAATATGTATGTTTTGACAATCGTCATATCTGTATAAATAGATACCGTATAACGTATTTAAACAAGAACAAGATATGTTAACCTTGAAATTTAATAACATGTCTTTACTTATGAAGTTGGAGATTTCTAATACCAGCATTTTCATAATCATAGTTATATTATTTTAATTTAAAATTCAGTCAGTTGTTGTAGATAGTGGTTTATTTTTGTGAAATTGTGGTAGTTTTTGGCGCCATGGATAAACTGAAAAGTCGAGCAATTTTCGAATATGAGTTCTTACGTTTAAATACAGCTGCACATATAATACGATATACTAACGCTTCGGCCCGGGCCTAACACTGCTTGCATAAACACGGTCCATTATTTATTTAATCGTTTCAGATCTGTAAATTTTAAATTACAAAACGAACCCTGCTGTCGGCCGGTAACCATAGTCGACAACAACAAATTGAAGGCGATAGTGAAAGCAGATCCAACTCAATTTACGGCTAAGCTTGCTGTGGGATTTGGGATTAGCGTCAAAATAACATTGAAACACTTGCGTTGCGGACAGATGAAAAGGGTACACGTCGGTGCCACGCGAACTAAGCAACCATCAGCGAGGCTTACTAGTCGAAGCATGTATAGTACTACTGAATTGGCATAAAACGAGGCAATTCTGAATCATTCGTTTCGTAAGCGTTCGTTTCAGTGGGTGGACCAGGTACAACATCTAATCAGTATGCTAAAAAAAAAGATTGTTCATAGGAAGATGATGGTGCCTGTCTGGTAGTCCAGTACTGAACTTCACGCTTCTTACCGAATGGCACAATACTACCGATAGATGTATATTGCCAAGAATATAAAACATTGATGGAAAAGCTCGCAACTAAATAATCCAATTCCCTATTGTTTTGCCACGATAACACGAGAGCTCACACGACAGACTATCGCAAATCTACGAGAATTACAACTGGAAGCTCTCCGTCACCCGCCGTACTCACCGGACCTTGCCCCAACAGAATTCTACTTCTATTAGTTTTTATTTAATTATTTTTGCACAAATATCAATTCACTGTACAAATTCCAAATTTCCAAAATTTAAACAATTTTTTAAGTGGGAAAGAAATCAACAAGTGAGAGGTAGTACAATATGATTTTGCTGTCTTCATGACCTCTCAGTAGACTTCTACAGTAAAATAATAAATAAACTGCCTTCGTAATGGAACAACTGTATAGATATTATTTGGGCAAGTAATATAATAAATTAACTGAAAGTTTTATATTTTAAAAATTTCATGCAAATCTTTTTTCTTGCGAAACTTCATAGGTGTACACATTCATAAAATAAGTTTTTAATTTAATAATAAGTTATATATATGTAAATGCGTTTTGGCTTCTTTTATATTATATTATATTGTGTTGCTTTCAACATCTCGACTTTTTTGTCGGTTTTATAAATACCCCATCCCGTAACCCACAGGAAAAAGGATATCTATGTCCCGATAACTTCAAAATTGATAAAGTTAGATATGAATGGTGTGTATGAATAGATATATTGTAAATTAATTTTTAATGTGTACTTTCATTGTATGAGAGGAACCTAACTAGTGTGTGACTGTCGTGTGGTGCGTGTTATTTGCGGTCCTTCTCCTTCCTCGTCCTCGTCCTCTTCCTCTTCCTCTTACCCGTTGTATGCTTTATGTCTGTTGTGTCTCCAGTGTATGTGCTATGTTGAGTGGGTCTGGCGTGTCTGGGGATTGCGGTATGTCTGGCGATTGTTGCGAGCCCTGTGGTTGTGGGTCCTGTGACTGATGCATGTTTTGCGATTCCTGGGTATTTTGTGTGTGTTGGTCCTGTGTGCTGTGTATGAATACCGTATCGCCCAAAACTTTACTGACCATGGTCACTGTGTGTATGGCTGCTTGTTTTTGAAGGATGGTTATGTCGATGGTTATATTATATATTATAATAGAAGGCAAAACTATATATAATTAACTCAAAGCTACGAAGAATAAGCATGCTAGACAATAGTTATAGTAACAATCAGACTCAGAAAGACAATTTGTGGATCACACAAAGTGTAAAAGAATACGGCAATAAAAAATAATTTTCGTCATACATGGGGGAGTAAACGGCACAGCATTTTTCTGACAGCCGGGCTGAACTTTGCACCCATAGTTGACCCAAAAGTCGATATCGCCGATAGCTTTATTAGTGCCAAAGGAATTGGGATCTGTGTGCACACAATCCACCATATCAGCATCTCCCTTTTTCAGAAAGTTCTCGATTGCTGGTTTCGCAGGATCGAGGCCGGTGATTCTATAAATAATTATTTATTATTATAAGCGTTGATCATTTTCCTATCGTTTTCAAAATCCTATTTTGGGATCGGTGTAATACAAAGAGTTTCGAAATGTGAAACAAGGGAGTGAGGTTACCAGAGACCAAACCACCCCGAATGTAGGGGCGAGGACTCTAAGGCCGACAATGCAGTTGTGGCTCTTGAGTTGCAGACCCACGATCTCTGGCTTACTAGGCAGGATCGCTAACCACTAGACCAATAGGCCATGGCCTCCCGGCCCGTCCAAGTATTTATGAGTCTTACGAGTAGTTAGCGTACAATCATGTTTTACTCTTTGCAATCGTCTCTCTCAAGGCTTACATCATATTAGTGGAACTGCTATTTCCGTTATGAAATTAGCTATTTAGTGATGATAGCGACCACTCCTTTTCTGTGATAGCCATCTCAATACCCGAATGTTTGCACTGACCTCGAAATGGTGATTCCTGACTTTTTCAAATTCTTTCCTACATTTCCAGCAAGGTGAGCACCCTCTGAATGTCCTATTAGGTAAAGACTATCTATGTTGAAACCCCGAGAATTCATTCCTTCTAAGGCATCAGACAAATCTTTGGCAACCTGAAAAATTTGCTATAGTTAGCCTGGTTTTATGATAAAGTTGTGTTCGGAATAGCTTACAGGTTAGTATAGGCACAACAATTTATCACTCGTGGCTGTCTCCTCAGGCTCCGACCGAGGAGGTCGACGGGGGTGCTGGCCGCTTTCGCGATGCGATTACGCATGTATGCGATGCGGCCATGCCCCGCGTTCGAGGTCGTCGGCCTCCAAGGAAGGAGGTCTACTGGTGGTCCCAGGAGCTGGCGGACCTCCGTGCGGCCTGTACACGTGCCCGGAGGTCCTACACGCGCAGTCGGCGGCGTCACCGTGGAGACGGTGAGGAGGACCGGCTTCATGAGGAGTACCGACGGGCGCGGAAAACTCTGAAGCTGGCCATTAGCCGCGCCAAAGAAGAAAAAAGACAGGAGATGCTGGAGGGTCTTAATCGTGACCCCTGGGGTCGCCCTTACCGCGCGGTGCGACAAAAGCTCCGCGCGTCGGGCCCCCCCCTTACGGAGACTCTCCAGCCCAGCTTCCTGCGAGAAGTGGTTGAGGGCCTTTTCCCGCAACGAGCGGAACACACTCCCCCGGCGATGGCCTCCTTGGCCGGAGACGACGGGGAGCACGGGGAGGAAAATGTTCCGCCCGTCCGGGATTCGGAGGTAGGGGCGGCTGTTCTACGGATCCGTTCCAAGAACACCGCCCCTGGGCCAGACGGGGTACCGGCCCGAGTGCTGGCCCTGGCCCTCAACCACATGGCAGACCGCCTCGGGGAGGTGTTCGACGCTAGCTTGGCGTCGGGACGCTTCCCTGAGTGCTGGAAGAGCGGGAAGCTGGTCCTATTGAGGAAGCCGGGACGGCCTGCCGATTCGGTCGCGGCCTATAGGCCCATCGTGCTGCTGGACGAGGCGGGCAAATTGTTTGAGAGGGTTCTTTCTGCCCGCATCGTCCGGCACCTCTGCGAGGTGGGCCCCGATCTGTCGGACGCCCAATTTGGTTTTCGGGCGGGGCGTTCGACGGTCGACGCCGTGTTGCGCCTGAGGGCCGTGACCGAAGAGGCAGTGAGCTGTGGCGGCGTGCTGTTGGCGGTGTCATTAGACATCGCCAACGCATTCAATAGTCTGCCATTCAGCTGCATCAGGGAAGCACTCCACTATCATGGGGTGCCAAAGTACCTGAGGCGGCTAGTGGCAGACTACTTAGAGGAGCGTACCGTCGTGTACGAGGACCGAGAAGGTAATTCGAGGAGTCGGCCCATGTCGTGCGGTGTTCCACAGGGGTCTGTTCTTGGACCCCTCTTGTGGAACATAGGGTACGACTGGGCCCTTCGCGCCGATTTCCCCCCCGGGCTGGGTGTAATCTGTTACGCAGACGATACCCTGGTGACAGCCCGGGGGGCAAACTTCCAAGAGGCGGCGCGCCTGGCCACAGGGGGAGTCTCCCTGGTGGTCGGGCGCATTGAGGCGCTGGGCTTACGGGTGGCCCTAGATAAGACGGAGGCCCTGTTATTTCATGGGCCCCGTCGTGGTCCACCCCCTGGCGCCTCCATCGTGGTCAACTCGGTCCTCGTACCGGTTCGGGCCCAGATGAAATATCTGGGCCTGATCCTCGACGGGAGGTGGCTCTTCGACGAGCACTTCCGACAGCTTGCTCCAAAGCTGGTCGGCGCTGCGTCTGCCCTAGGGCGACTCCTGCCCAATATGGGTGGACCCAGCGTCGCGACAAGACGGCTGTACACGGGGGTTGTCCGGTCAATGGCACTGTACGGTGCACCGGTGTGGGCGGCGGCTCTGACCGCCCAGAATAGGGTACGCCTCTGGCGCCCTCAGAGGGTAATGGCGGTCAGAGCCATACGCGGTTACCGCACCGTGTCGACGGAGGTGGCATGCGCGTTGGCCGGAACTCCCCCGTGGGATTTGGAGGCGGAAGTGCTCGCCGAAGTTTATCGGCGAGTGGCTGACTTCCGGGCGGAGAGCGGATTTCGCCCTCCCCCCGAGGATGTGCGCGAGTGGCGCGAAGCCGCTCGCCGAGCCACGATGGCTCGTTGGTCGTTCCGGCTGGAGACTCCACGCGCTGGCTTCGCCGCCGTGGAGGCTCTCCAGCCGGTCATCGCCGAGTGGGCAGGGCGGCAGCACGGGACCCTTTCCTTCCGGCTGACGCAGGTGCTTTCCGGGCATGGTTGCTTCGGAAAGTACCTGCACACTATCGCTAGGAGGGAACTGAGTCCCGCCTGCCACCACTGCGACTGCAGTGAGGACTCGGCCCAGCACACGCTGGCGGTCTGCCCCGCATGGGCGGCGCAGCGCCGGGCCCTCACTGCAGTCATCGGAGTGGATCTCTCGCTACCGGCCGTAGTACGCTCCATGGCCGGTAGCGACAGTTGTTTTAGGTCGCAACCTTCTGCGAGGTAGTAATCTCGCGGAAGGAGGCGGCGGAGAGGGCCCGGGAGGACGACCTCCACTCGGACCCGATCCGCCGCCGGCGAACCGGGCGGCGGAGGCCCGCCTATCACAGCCTCATGCCGCCCTGAGTGTGGCCGCGGGTGGACGGGGTGGGTTTCCCCTCCACCCGCATTAGTTTGGCCAGCCGCGAGGGGGGCGGCGTCCGCGTGTGCCGGACGTCGCCTAAAGAGAGGAACAAAAACATAGAGACGGAGCCCGCACCAGGAGCGGGCTGGCGCTAGGAGGGGTCCGGATGTCTTAACAACAGCTGTTCCCGGATCCCTCCTGTTACAGGCGCAGAGTGGCACACCGTGTGGTTTTAGTCGGTCCGAGTCCGACACACCACCCCGCCGCAAACCCCGGAGGGGTGACGGTCCGAGGGGATTTCCACACGTTAAAAAAAAAAAAAAAAAAAGGCACAACAATTTAATGTTCTCTTATATAACTTATGAACTTTTTTATGTGTAGAAGCCCCCTCGGGCCCCACCGGGTCTTGCGGCGGGGTGGTGTGCCGGAATCGGCGTCAGTAATAGGAGGGTTTCGGGAACTGCTGTTTTTAAGTTATCCGGACCCCTTCTTGCGCCTGCCCGCACCGAGGCACCATCCTCGGGTGCATTCCGGCACACGCGGACGTCGCCTCCTCGCGGCTGGCCGTTATGGCGGGTGGAAAAGAAAACCCGTCCCGTCCCAACACGGCCACACTCAGGGCGGCATCAGACACTGGTAAGCGCGCCTCCGACGCCCGGTTCGCCGGCGACGAATTGGGTCCGAGTGGAGGTCGTCCTCCAGGGCCCTCTCCGCCGCCACCTTCTGCAAGATGACGTCTTCGCCTACCGGCCATGGAGCGTATGACGGCCGGTAGCGAGAGATCCCCTCCGATGTCAATTTTTCAGCGTGAGCTGAGCCTCACTGCTATTGCAGTGGTGACAGGCAGACTCAATTAGCTCCTAGCGACCGAGTGCAGGTACTTACCGAAGCAGCCATGCCCGGAGAGGACCTGGATCAGCTGGAAGGAAAGGGTCCCGTGGTGCGCCCTGCCCACTCGACGGTGACAGGCTGGAGCCTCCAGTCGGGACCAACGAGCCAGCGTGGCTCAGCGAGCGGCCTTACGCCACTCACGTATCTCTTCGGGCGGGGGCCAAATGCTGCTATCCGCCCGGAACTCAGCCGTCCGCTGATTCCTCTGTCGTCAGGGTGCGGTAACCGCGTATGGCTCTAACCGCTAATAGCCTCTGAGGGTGCCAGAGGCGTGCCCTATTCTAGGCGGTCAGAGCCACCGTTCACACCGGTGTACTGTACAGTGCCATTGACTGGACAACCCCCGTATACAGCCATTTTGCTGGCGACGCGACGCTGGCTCCACCCAAATTGGGCAAAAGTCTTTGGATACAGCGGAATAGCAGACTGTTGAATGCGTTGGCGATGTCCAACGAAACCGCCAACAGCACGCTGCCACGGCTCACCGCCTCTTCCGTCATGGTCCCGAGGTGCAACACAGCGTCGACCATCGAACGCCCCGCCCGAAAACAGAATTGGGCGTCCGACCGATCGGGGTTCACCTCGTAGAGGTGCCGGTCGATGCGGGCAGAGAAAATTCTCCCAAACAATTTATCCGCCTTGTCTAGCAATACGATGGGCTTGTAGGCCGCGACCGAATCGGCAGGCCGTCCCGGCTTCTTCAATAGGACCAGCTTTCCGCTTTTCTAGCACTCAGGGAAACATCAAGCTGACGTCGAAACTAGCTTGGCGTCCGGACGTTTCATCTCCCTGAGGCTGTGTGTCACCCCGCCGGGGCTCTCGTTCGGCGGGGCGGTGTGTCGGACTCGAACCGACTAAAACCACACGGTGTGCCCTCTTTGCGCTTCCAGTTTAAGAGGGGTCCAGGTAGTTATCGCCTTCTGGACCCCTCCCAGCGCCAGCCCGCTCCTGGTGCGGGTCCGTCTCAAAGTTTTCCTCTCTTTATTTAGGCGACTTCCGGCACACGCGGACGCCGCCCTCTTGCGGCTGGCCACACTAATGCGGGTGGAGGGGAGAACCCATCCCGTCCACCCGCGGCCACACTCAGGCCGGCATGAGGCGCAGGTGAGCGCGCCTCCGCCGCCCAGTTCGCCGGCGGCGGATAGGGTCCAAGTGGAGGTCTTCCGACCGGGCCTTCTCCGCCGCCTCCTTCTGCGAGATTACCTCCTCGCAGAAGGTTGCGACCGCGGTAAAACAACTGTCGCTACCGGCCATGGAGCGAATTACGGCCGGTAGCGAGAGATCTGCTCCGATGACTGCAGTGAGGGCAGATGAACTCCACCTTCTGGTTTTTTACCGAGGTTTCCTCCTCCATGCTCCAGAGAGCGAAGAGCCAGCAGGGCAACCGGCAGACACGCCCACCTGGACCAGGCCTTGCCCGAGAGCCGATAAACGGCTTCCTCTTCTGCTAGAATATTAGCCGCTGGCGATAATCCTCTTCTCCAAGAGAACAAGGAGGAAACAGTGCCATCGCCAGCGTTTCCAAGGTGCACCACGGGGAGGTTTTCTAGCGTAGCATCCCAAGTTAAACCCTCCACCAACGTCGTTTTTACCATATGTAAAAATCCATTACACATTTTAGTATTGACAAGAGTGGTACCATTCTATTGTTCCTACATACTAATAAAAAGAAACTCACAGTTAGTGTTGATATTAGTGATAAATTAACAAATTAGCAATTTATTTTTGCAATTTTGGGCAAATAAGGTAGTAGTAAGGTTGTTTAGGATATACTGTTTGTACTAATATCAAATGAGTATAATTACCACTAAACCAGCTATGATCGAAACGGCAGGATAATCAACCCCGAGAACTTCCAGGCCGAGAATATCTTCAATGGGTTTAGTTATCGGGCCAATATAGCCGGCTGCTTCCTTCTCCCAGTTTAGAGCGCAGTAACATTCATCGGGACCGAACTTTTTTATCAAACTTGATACTACGTCTAAAATATCTTGGGTAATATTAGTTGAGTATCCGTGGCAAACGATGTTTAATTTGCAGCCCTTCGGGAAGTACTCTGAATTTACAAATTGTGGACTTTCCTTGAGAGACAGTTCTTTAAAATCCCTTATTGACCTGAAATAGAGTATTAAATTTATTTCGGTTAGTTTGTCAAAGACTATTACTATCCCAAAAAACTTAAATACTAATTTCAATATTTCATTACTTAGATATTGACATACGTACCCCTTGTAACATACAAGACTGGCGGCCTCTGAGGCATAAGGTGAAACTGGAAAAATAATTTTAATTCAAAATTGTTTATGACTTCAAATAACTATGCTTTAAATTATTTTTTGGTAATCATTATACCAGAGTAAACTCTGGTATTAAGATTACCAAAAAATAATTTGTTTAAAGTTAAGTCAGTCAACTACTAAATGTCACGCGATACCGTCCACTCTCCCACCAAGACTGCCGCTCTCACCCCCTCACCCACCCCGCAGAGGGACATGTAGCCAAACGTCCATAAGCTCCGATTGGATGCCATTTACATACTTGCGATTAGATCAGTGTGTTCCGCAAAGGCAAACATAGCAGATATGGATGTTGAAATTGTGTCGGCTATTGCGTTTGGCTTGATATATATTTATTCAAAATATCAACAGCGACAGCCACTCACGTATCTCTTCAACGACGAAACAAATTTGAAAAAAAAGCGTTGGGTGCCTGTTGTCAATAGTAAAAAGCACCCCACGCTTTTTTTCAAATTTGTTTTCTATTTTAGTTTTCTACAGAAAGCTTGTTTTTTAGTTTTTTTAAACTGTTTTTTGTTTTAAATTAGTGTATTGTCATCTGTCCTCGATATATCTACAAAGTTTGAACGAATTCTGACCGTTTGAAGTCAGTCAAAATCACGCCCAAAGGAGTCGGTTACAAACATACAAACAAACATACGAGTACAAGTGAAGCTAATATAAAGCGTGTAAAAAATAGAAAACGGTTTTTATCTATCTTTTGCTATCTTATAGCTTTTTTTATATCGTGTCAAGGTTTGAACTCAATCGATGCAGGACTTTTTGAGTTTTTGAAGCGTACACAAAAAACTTAACATTTTTATATATGTACCTATATAAATTATACTCGTATGTGTATAGTTGATGACGACTCTATCGCCACAAAATCAAAAGCGCCTGTGTTAACGGTTGTCGACACAGGCGCAATGGAAACTTACCCCGATTAACATCCACGTAGCTTTTAGTTGCCTGATAAACCTATCAGGAAATTAAAAGCTACAGGGATCTTCAATGGTAGATAAATAATTAGGTAAAAAATAAAAATATAGGTAGATAAATTTAAACATTTTCATTACTTTGATCTGTGTTCAAAAACCGACACTAGCCCCGATGGACACTGTCCGAGGCTTGCCAAACGTGTAAACGCCCAATAAAAAGGAGCAAACGCTGCGCGGGTCTTTCTTCTCTCCGTCCACATTACAATATAAGTGTTCTCCAACCACGGGCGCCACCTTGATCAAAGGGCAGAGTCCAGGACTCCGCTTTGAGGTTACCTCTGTCTCCATCCATCTCCAAAATCATAATTGTAATATTTTTGTAAGTTCAATTATAAAATGTGAAAGTTGACTATAGACTATTTCTAATATGTAAGTTTGTTTATCAGCAATCTGATTACCACAGTAGAGGCTCTGCCTAGTTTGGGATCAGACGACCGTATATGAGATATGTGACGTTAATGTTATTATTAATTTGTCTTAATTTATGTCAACGCTTTTAATTGTTATGATATGATATGCAGGCCACAAAGCTATTCAATGCAGGAGAAATGACAGTTTTTTTTTTTTTTTTTTTTTTTTAAATGGCTTGTTCTCCTCCAACATAATCAGAGACCTTTAGTGACTCTAATGATGATTACACAACTCTTATATGTTACTGTATGATCCGTACATTTGTGGCTGGCTGGCAGGATGTTAACCTTCTACTTAGACTACATTACAAAAATTACTGCTATTATATTAGCTACTATATTATATAACCACTATGTTCGCTAACTAATTTGGCACTACTATTTCTATTAACTAACTAATTAATTATGGCTTACTATTTGACTTACTTTCTATTTATATATACACTACTTTTTCCTATGCTTATTTGTATATTATACATAATATAAATTAAGCATAATTTTAATATCTATTTTTTACATACACTTTATACCTAGAGAAGCAAATTTCAGCACTAACGTTGACCAGCCCACACTTCAATTGGCTTACTTTCAAATGAAAGCAAGACCAATTCGTTGGGATTATGTTCTCAACTGTTTGTTTACGTTTTCTGTGCCTGTGTCCTTTGGTGTGCCCTTTGTAGAGGTCTGAAGTGGTCAGCTCGGTGGTGTTGTCTTCGCGTGGGGCGCCCGCGGCAACGTCAGCAATACGCCACGGCGGCCCTCGCAAGCGCGTCCCACTTCTTCCGGATGGGGCACTGGTTGCTATATACGCCGTGAGCGGTATCGCCTTGCTTCGCCTTTAGGCAGTTTCTGCAGGTCGGGGCTTGTGCTGCCAAAAACTGCTCACATTCAGCTTTTTTTGTGGGGGCCTCCACAGTGGTTGCACAGGTCAACAGTCTCCGTGCATAGTTTGCGTCCATGCCCATAGGCGAGGCACCTAGTGCACTGCACTAGCGGTGTTTGATCCTCAACCCGGACGCGCTGCAAGGTCGATGTATACCCTGCCGACCGACACCAGTCTTTGATACAGCGCGGGCGACACTTTGAGCACCATGTGGCACTCGTGCTGGTTACGTGCCCTGCGCCTGTATATGACTTCGGCTTGGCTGATGTCGGTCGCCAGGTCCCCCAATGCCTTTTCATTTTGCTTTAAGATGGCGGCTTTCACTTCCTCGTTGGTGTTGAAAGATAGTAAGTTTTTGAGGACCACCAACGGGCTCTTGTTTTTTGCCTCCTCATAGGCAATATTTGCGCTCTTTTTTAGGTGCTTCTCAACCCTGTCCAGCTCCGTTTTGGTGGAGCAACTGAGGATGACCTTCCCGTCACGGATCTTCCTCAGTTTCTCCACCCGAACACCGCTAATATGTTGGAACACCTCGCCCGAGGTGTCCATTTCGTCCGTGGAGGAGACTATGAGGGAGTGCGTCGGCTTGTGCTCCCATGGTGTTGCTGGTTGTTTCCGTACCGCATCCGCGTAGGAGGGAGAGGCTCCAGCCACGAGGTCTCGTATCTGGAGGCCCTCTACTGCGGTTTTCATCCCACGCAGCTCCTCCACAATCCCCGCATCCCCGTCCGCGGACGTGATGCGGGAGCTCAGGACCTCGACTTTTTCATGAACGTAGTTCTTGACCTGCGCTGCACTATCGCTCACCACCTGGGTTATCCTCCTACAGGTTTCTTCGGTAGCCATATTTGTGGTTGTGTTTGTAACCTCTTTACTTTCTTCTATCCTTTCTATTAAATTGTTTTCCAATTTTTTAAGCCTTTGTTGGAGGCTTTCTTCTATTTCCTTCAAGAACGCTTTGTTAGTACAGACGGTCTCCGATATGGAGTCCATTTTTTCGGTTAATTTATAAATTCTGTCCTCCCTTTCCTCGGTCGGCTCGCTCTGCGGTTCTGCCCTTTCTCCCGCCGGTCTCTTTTCCGTTTTTTCTCCCTCCTTAACCAATTCGTATAGTCTCCAGATCGCCGCAGTCACGTCGACTTTGATGTCGCCTCGGATATTTCTTGACTGTGTTAGGAGTGATTTGGCCCTGACCACAATGGCCTTGGCCTCCGCACTCCTTGAGGCGTAATGTTTTTTAACTGCTTTGGCGATCGGCGGCGACCAGGTTTGCCCCTCTGATGACGTTCGGTGCGTGAGTACTTTGGTCTCGTTTAAGGAGGAGGGGACCACTCTTGGTTTTGCCGCCGTCTTTGTCGGGGGGCCAGAGGGCCGTATGATCGGCGATTTGGTGGGCGATCTCTTCGGCGCTGGTTTGCCGCCCTCCCATTCGCCGATGCTGCGCCTCACATTGGAGGTCAGCGCCGGCGGCGCCGAAGGTCCCGCTCTAGCAAACTCCGGGCTCTCGGCCCCAGGAGAGGCTTCTACAGCCTTTTTTGCTGGTGTCCTTATACAGGACATTTTGGTTTTCTGTTGTGTGTGCGGTGTGTTGTATAAGGACCACCGACGCACAAGAGAAGGGTTGTTCCGCCGGTACAGGCTGGTCAAGTCTATAATAATAGACAGAACAACTGCGAAAGCAGAGTGAAAATAAAAAGAACAAATAAACAATTTAAAATAAAAGGTCTAAATCAAAATAGCAAAGCAATGAACTACAAGTCGATATCTCTGCGCAGCAGAGAGGTCAGATGGGGTATGGATGTATGGTCCCTAGTCCTAATCCTAAAACAAAGGTCAAATCAAAATAAAATATTAAAACTAAAAATAAAACTAAAATTAGCAACTGCTAATTTGCTAATTTTAGTTTTATTTGTTACATCCCCTAGCTTAGACAGAGTGTTACTGTTAACTAACAGTAACACTCTGTCTAAGCTAGGGGATGTAACGTCCCTGTTCCAAAACTATCTAAATAAACTAAACTAACTAAAAATTAAAAAAAAAATATTATAAAAATATTTTACTCCCCTGCTTTCACCCAAGTGTTTGGCGCCCCTGCCACAGAATTTACCACCCTAACCAATTCAGGGAGGGTAGGCGGGCAATTTTTTAATTTTCTTTCTATCGGATTTTAATAAATGATGTGTCGCGTGATAGGGCTAGACGAGCCCTATCCAAATATGTAATAATTTTGAATATAAGTTTAGGGGTTGCCAAATTCTTAGCCAAAAACTTGAAAAATTTACAATTTTAGTGCCGAAAATTTTCTTTCGCAGGTGTTAGGACTCCGACGGGACGCCGGAGGATCTTCGAACGGTGGTGGTATGCAGGAGAGGTGTCGACGCAGCGATATTAAAAGCTTCAACCAATAAACGACTCGGAACACAAGAGGTAGGTGACCCTTAAAGGTACGTTTCGTAGCTTTTTTACAGAATTACGATGAAAATGAAAAATTTAGGAAAATCTATACAGCGAATCCCCGAAAACGAGGTGTCTGCGTACAGGTGACGCCGTTGCCGAATTTTAGAGACCAGAACGATCAAGATATGTCAATAAACAAGAGAGATATATAATTTATTATTAAAGTAAACAAACGAAAAATTTTCTAAGTCAATATATAGGCGTCAATATATAGGTTATGTCAAATTCCCAATATATTATTAGCCAAAACAGTATATAATTGCTACTAGTATGTTAATAAAACGCTTTGGTGAAGGTCCAAAGTCAATTTTAGGCAAAAAGCTATAGGAAAATGACAGAGTTGGAGTACAAACAAAAGGATATGGAAAACTAATACAAGGACAATACCAACGAGGTCAAGCTCGCGGTTGGTCCGTGGACGTGGTCAAAGATACAGAGGAAAAATAGGTAGAAACAGAGAGCAGGCTGCGTGCATGGCCAGTGAAGTTGATTTTATGGATAGTGAGATTTTATTTGCTGCATTTCAGGTAAGAAATAATGATGTCTTGTGTAACAATATTATTTCTAGTAAAAAATATATTAAATTCATAATAGATTCAGATGCTACAGAAAATTTAACTAAAGATTGCTACAAACCTTTGGTGTTTGATATAGAGAAAATACCAGAAACTAGAATTTATATAGCAAATGGAGAATATCTAGTGTGTAATGAAAAAGGTAAGATTAAGGTTACTTATTCCAAGTTACAAGTAAAAGTTACAGTTCACTGCTTAATTGTTAGGAAGACATTCACAGTAGCTGAGAGGCGTTCAAAGCAGATAGGTTAATTTAATACAATCAGATGTATGTGGACTGATTGCAACTGCGAATACTCCGAGTAAAAAATGTTTTCACTTAATAATTGATGATGATTCCCATTTTGTAAAAGTAAAGTTATCAAAGTACAAGAATGAAGCTAAACAGAATTTGATAGATAACATTAAAAATCTGAAGTCACAGATAGGGTATAAAACTAAAAAGCTTAGATTAGATAGTGGAGGGGAAGTTTTTTCAAATTTTTTTTTGTTGTAATAAAGGAATAGTGATTCAGTATACTTCACCATATACACGTATGAAAATAGTTGTAGCGAGCGGATGCATAAGACGTTGCTGAATAGAGTGAGAACAAAGTTTGTTGAAACAAAATTACTAAAGCACTTATGGGGTGAAGCTATACACGAGTATTGCTCAGCGTATGAATTAAACAGATGGGCATCTATTTAATTCATACACCAAGCCCAAGAGTATTAGAAAATAAAACTATAGCTATATTATGGTATGGTGAAACTGATTTCAGTAAATTAAGAGTATTTGGTGCAAGAGCATGGATGGTGCGTATACCCAAACTAAGTAGGCTTGTGGAGAGAACAAAGTCAGTAGTTATAGTTAGTTATTCGCCAAATGATCATTGAATATTGGACCCAGAAACCAATAAAGTATGTTGTTCTACTGATGTAAGGTTCGATGAGAGAAATATCAAGTATAATAACACAAAATATGAATATGAAAAAAGAGATAATGAAATAAGAATTGTCGATGGCGAAGAAAGTGTTGAGAGAGAAAATGTTGAGAAAAAGTATTGAGGATATATTTAATGAACAGATAATACTTTAGAGAATGAAGAAAATGTGCGAAAGTCAAGACGTGGAAAAGAAATAAAGAAATCATAATGTTTAGAGGATTATGAAATATATACAGCATATTATTGTTTGATAAGTAAAGAAGTACCAAAGACATATGAAGAAGCAAGTAAGGGTGAAGAATGGAGACAAGCTATAGATAAAGAGATATATTCGTTAAAGAAATTAAATATATGGACAGTTACAGAAATCAGAGGATACAGACCCAAAATGGATATTTTATATTAAAGATAATGGTATTAAGAAAGCGAGATTAGTTGTGAAAGATATTCAATTGCCTGATATATATTTTGAAACAAATTATGGGTCAGTAGCTAGAATGTCTACTGTTAGAGCATTTTTAGCACATTCTGTAGAAGAAAACATGCCTGTATACCAATTAAACTTACCTACATAATTTTTGAACGGAATTTTAGAGTCAGAGGTTTACATAAAATTACCTGAAGGGATATATTTAAATGGATATACAGTATTGAAGTTACATAGAGGGTTATATGGATTAAAAGAAAGTCCTAAATGCTGAAAAAAACAGTTTATTAAATAATGATAGAAGAAGGTTTAAAAAGGTCAGGTTATAATTTATGTTTATAAGTGAATGATAACGTATTACGTAAACGTACTAATAGCTTAGTATAAGTTGATGATGTTCTTTTGATGGGGAAAGCAAAAGAAATAGAAAGAATTAAACAAGTATTAAGAGAAAAATTCAACACGAAATACTTTGTTGAAATTGAGAGCTTTTTAGTAATGAAAATCGAAAAAATAGAAAATGGAATCAAGATAAAACAGACTAACAAGTAGACAAAATACTTTTATAATTCAATATGACAGAGTGTCATTTATCATAATCAAATATCACCAGTCAAATACATTCATGGAAGCAGGGTTAAATGTTAATGAGAATGAAAAGATTATTGATGTTCCTTATAAAGAGTTGATAGGATCATTATAATTTATATCGTCCAATAGTAGACTAGATATAACATTTGCTATTTCATACTTATGTAGATTTCTGGATAAACCAACAAAAAGTACTTAGAAGACAGGGAAGAGAATATTTCGTTATTTAAAAGGTACTAAAGGCAAAGGTCTTTTATATAAAAGAGGCGAAGAAGCATTGACATATATAGATGTTGACTGGGAACGTCGAACTTAGTTTTAATTCCTTTTCTTACGGGAAATTCCAGGCAAGTCCAAAGTTTCAGGAGGCCGCCACGATCATCAGACTCAGGCACCTTGGTGTGGCTATGGCAGAAAAGTGAGGGATCGCACTCTAAACTATGGGATCAATTAGTGGAATACGAACCACTGATAGCATCCCCATGCGATAGGATCCTAAAACACCATATCTTTACGAAAAGATACCAGATTCAGATACAAGAAAATGACCGAGATCAATCCGGCGTTAACGAAGTTCGAATTTACACGGACGGTTCCAAGACTAGGTCAGGAACTGGAGCCCGAGTTTTCTCCCAAGACCTAAATATGAATATATCACTAGCGTTAGGCCAACACAGTTCCATATTCCAATGCGGATGTATGGTAATAACTAACGCCGCCACAACGGCCATGTCAAGGATCATTAAGGACTGTAAAATTCGAATACTGTCAGTCAGCATGGCAGTCCTAAAGGCATTAGAATGCAACACAACGACCTCTGATATTGTCTTCGAATGCCATCAAGCATTGGAGCAGCTTGCCACATTAAATGGGGTACTACTCCAATGAATTAAAGGGCACAGTAATTCACACGTGAACGACGCCGCAGATGAGTGCGCAAGGAGGGGCAACCCTGGCTATCAGCCCAACCGTATTGCTGCCACTACCTTTCAACACACTTCGATTCTGGGCCAGGCAGGCCAAGGCTGTGATAAAACTCACCCGGCTGCAGACAGTCCAAATTAGTGCTGACTTAAGTCACACCACGACTCACTTGCAGATTGATCAGTCTTAGCAGACTAGAAATCTGAATGTTTGTAGGAACTATAACAGGACACCTAGGAAATTCTTGAGACGATATAATGTTCGCAGCTTGTCATCACACTAATGCCATCACACCCCACAGCATTAGAACGGATCGCACTAGTCAGTGGTGGGACTGGTAAGACCAGATATGTAGTGAAGCGTTGGCACTTAGTTTGAAGATCTAGCGTAGCTGTGGTTAACAAATAAAGTTTGATATATTTCAAACCAATTTTATTATTAAACACGGGATGTTGTTAACCGATTCCTAGAGTTCCAAGAAATTTATAGAAACTGGACGAAGAAGAAGACTCCCATAAAATCTATGTTTTGAAGAATATGTCGGCGTTTAGCTGTGTCTTAATATATTATGTAAAAAATATATTGTAAAGGTAGGTACGATATAATACTATGTGGCTTATTAAAGTATATAGTATATTATACGTACGTACATAGTTACATATGCTGTTGACTGCACGGATGGCGTAGTGGTTTAAGCGGTCGCCACGCCGCTTCCTACTGCGCCGAGTGTTGTGGGTTCAAACCCCACATGGGACGACACTTTGTGTGATCCACAAATTGTTGTTCTGAGTCTGGGTGTTCTTTGTGTCCGTTTCATGTATGTTTGTAAAGTCCCCCGCGACACAGGATTTATTCCTAATGCGGGCGTTGTCTTTTAAAAAAAAAAAAAAAAAGAAAGAAAGACATATACATATATAAACACTCGAAATACGAACCCTCGAATTTTTCAAAATTGAAATATATTTCAATTATTACTGTTTTCAACTTAGAACTTTTCAGATAAATAAACTCTTGGCCAAAAATAATAGGGTCCGGTTCCTCCCCAGAGGGTGATTTTTAATACAAACACCACATACTTCTGGCTCTTGCGTTCCCTAGGAGCCGGATATCTGAAGGGATTTTCCACCCCGTCAACTAAAAAAGGGGTAAAAATAATAAATTTGAATTTTAATAACAAGCGTAACTTACTAATTAATATGCAGGCTATTTTCCACAAGAATAACATATTTTCCATTTTTCTTTCTTCGATGAAATAATGAATATACCCAAAAATGAAAACTACTGAAATGACGAAATAGTCTGTAAAGCGTTTATTATATAGGCTTCTTTTATATACAGTCATGTTTGTAAAAGTATACACAATCTTTGTTATTTAGATCAACCAAACAAGAAAAGATCATTTTGTTGACTCAAGTGTCGCTTATTATTCATAATTTAGGCCTTCACGCGCCTTAAAGTGGTCACATTCATTGCCAAGTATCAGATAAAGAAAATTTAACGACTTCCGTGCCTCTATCCTAATTTTTACATGCTTTATATTAGCTTCACTTGTATGTTTGTTTGTATGTTTGTAACCGACTCCTTTGGGTGTGATTTTGACTGACTTTAAACGGTCAGAATTCGTTCAAACTTTGTAGATATATCGAGGACCGATGACAATACACTAATTAAAAAAACAAAAATAGTTTAAAAAACCAAAAAATACGCTTTCTATAGAAAACTATATTAAAAAATAGAAAATAAATTTGAATAAAAGCGTGGGATGCTTTTTACTATTGACAACAGGCACCCAACGCTTTTTTTTCAAATTTATTTTCTATTTCTTACTTTGGTTTTCTATAGAAAGCATGTTTTTTAGTTTTTTAAAACTATTTTTTTTATTTCATCGTCGTCATCTAAGATTTACTTACAGAAATAAATATCATTTATAATTCACCCTCTGTAACATTACATATTTGTAGCTTGCGTCGTATAGCTTGACGTGAGATCGATTCTCAGTACAATTTGTCATATTTGGATAAATAAATTATTTATAAACTATTATAGGTACGACAATAAGTTTTTATAACTATTATAATAAATCGAAAAAAAATACTTTTGAAGTTTTTTCTTAACTACAGCTTTATCTGTCTCTACTATTAAGATGATAAGGCACTCGTTTCTTTAAACTTCTGTTACCATAATAATTGTGTACTCTTAGAACAATATATTTGCTATAGGTCATCGAGCGAGTGTTGTATTTTTAGTGACTTGATGTTATTCTCCCGATTGCCATAATTATTTACTAAAAGTTGGCATTTACATTTTAATGTGACCTGTAATATTACACATATTTTCTAAAATTTAGTGTAATCATAATCATGTCGCCAATACATTGTCAGTAAAATCTGGGTGGTGACCGTCACTTATACAGAAGGTGATTTGATGCGAGGCAGTATGATAATAATAGCCTGGCGAACCTCGTATGAACTATAAGGAGGCCTAAAATTGACTCGGTTGCAAATAGGTGGCTTTTGAGTAAGTGTATTTGTATGTTATATTTTCTATTTCTCACTGTCTGCATAGAGTAACAAAATATGCGAGCAGCCCACTCAACAACTTTAGTACTTAAGAGTTTAAAAAGATGAATGCAAAATATACAACTAAATTTCAAAAATATCATGCCGAACAAATAAAAGAACGGCGTGAGGGGTCTATTGACCCCGGGTCGGTATCTATATCTTATATATTATATTATGTTTCATTACGAATTTTATTGAGAATAGGTAAGTTATTTTTTTATTTATAACTTTATGCACTTTTGTGGACTTATGCCTAAGGCATTCTCTTCCAGTCAACCTTTAGGTAGTGTAGAAATCGTGAGTGGTAGGCGCATGTAGGTTATAACATTAATCACTAAGATATACACTACACAATACAACACACGTAATTTTATACACAAAAAAATACACACTATACACATACTTACACATACATATATATAAATACACATACATACATTATACATATATATATATGTACCTACATATATACAAACATACTCGTATATTCGCATTATATTCGTACACCATGAGTGTAGGAAAATTGGCTGCTGCGCTATCGATTCGATGATTCTGCCATCTCATTAAGAAGAAGGTCGTATACTTTCGGATAATTAATAATACGGAATAGTTTGTGGACATCCTGACTTCAACCGGGAGCGCATTCCAGAGTAGAACTGCTTGAACTAAGAACTAAAAGTTCACGAAGTCGGAATTGTGAGCGGGGCGTAAGAGAAGCAAATTCTCTCTTATTTTTTCTCTTCTAAAAAGACAACTCCCGCATTAGGAACATATCCTGTGTCGCGGGGGACTTTACAAACATACATTAAAGGGAAACAAAGAACACCCAGACTCAGAACAACAATTTGTGGATCACACAAAGTGTCGTCCCATGTGGGGTTTGAACCCACAACACTCGGCGCAGTAGGAAGCGGCGTGGTGACCGCTTAAACCACTGCGCCATTCGTGCAGTCAATTATTTGCAGAGCGAAGATTTCTGTCGTGATTAGACGACAAGAAACGGAGGTAAGGAGCAAGGTAAGTAGGTGAGGTTAAGTTATCGTTACTAGATAAAGTTTATGTAATTAATAATAATATAATAATATATCTTACACATCTCACACAGGGCCGTCTGATCCCAAACTAGGCAGAGCCTGTACTATGGTAACCAGACTGCTGATGAACATACTTATATATTCTTTAAATAGATACATATTATACCACTAGTCGCACATTTTTTATTAATATAAGTAATTCAGTTAATTTTTTGCCTCTTATTATTTTTAGGTAAGGAGTTTTTGTTTGATGTTTTTTATACATATACAACATAGGTATAGTAGCTTGAACTACTTCATGTAAGTCACGAGAGGTAGCAAACTACGGAAAACGACCACTTCAAATGTAATTCCTGCTGTTTCGAAAAACTGTGGTGGTTTGATGCACATATTGAAATGGTTATAGGCTCCAGTGTTAAGTTGAGACGCAACATTTCTGTTATCAAAGGGCCTAGTCCAATAATTTTATCAAAATAGAATCAGGCGAGTAACCCGATTCATTTTTATAAAATACTTGCCACCCTGTACCCACGTATACCTTATTGCCACGCTTCGCTGTGGGTTTGTGGTAGCAAAGAATAGATAATGGATTTTATCTATGTTTTTGCTATCTTTGAAGCTTGTTGTATGTTGTGTCGAAGTTTGAACTCAATCGGTGCAGAACTTTTTGAGTTTTTGAAGCGTACACGAAACAACATTGTATTTACCTATGTAAATTATATACTCGTATGTATGTATAGATGATGACGACTCTGTTGCCACAAAATCAAAAGCGCCTGTGTCAGCGGTTGTTGATACAGCTGCTTTTGATTTTGTTGACACCATTTCAGGCATTACAGCAAATAACAGAAAGACTATTACAGGTTTACACGAAGAAAATAATAGGATTATCGATATAAATTCAAGATCACTCAATGCACGAACATGGCATACAATATATTCATTAATCATTAATGTATTCATTACGGTTTGTTTGAATAAGCTAATCTCTAAAGAAGTTATGATTTAGCACTTTAGTGGCCGTGTAACTTTTTATGGTGTAAGGTCCAAGTAATATGTTGAAATCTCTACTTGGTCGCACCATATAAGAATTCTTTCTGTAATTTAAAGATGATGGGAGGGATTGACAGGTTATGCTTAACATATCTGGAAGGAACATTGAATTTCAACTTGTGCAATGCAATAGTGCAGGGTAGTCGATTTCGGGATTTGAAAGCGGTAGTGCTCGCAGAACTGTATCGGCGACGACGACTGAGGTACTGACCGGTCGGTTAGTCGACAGTCCTAAGGCTGCTCGTCGAGACATGATGGCTTGTTGGTCGTCCCGGCTGGGGGCTTCACGTGGAGGCGCTTCTGGAGGGCACGGCTGCTTCGAAAAGTACCTGCACTCGATCGCTAAGAGGTAATTGAGTCTCGCCTGTCACCCATGCAATTGCAGTGAGGACTTGGCTCAGCACACGCTAGCAATTTGCCCGGCTTAGGCTTTGCAGCGTCGGGTCTTTACTGCAGTCATCGGAGGAGATCTCTCGCTACCAGCGTCGGCTTTTGTAGAAGCGTGTGACGCTTAATGGTAATATTTTTTTTTTCTTCGGTAGCATCCATCTGCTATGACGTCATCTCGCAGAAGGAGGCGGCAGAGGTTGCCGGTACGATGATTTTCACTCGGTCCCAATCCGCCGCGGACGAACCGGGCGGCGGAGCACCTAATGCGGCCCTGAGTGTGGCCGTGGGTGGACAGGACGAATTTTCCCCTTGACTCGCCATAACGGCCAGCCGCGAGGAGGCGATGTCCGCGTGTGCCGGACGTTGCCTAAATAATGAATGTTCATTCTTTATTTTTAATCTGTTGCGGATAGGTTCTAGGAGGGATCCGGATGTCTTAATAACAGCAGTTCCCGGATGTCTCTTATTACAGGCGCAGAGTGGCACACCGTGTAGTTTTAGTCGGTCCGACTCCGGCCCACCACCCCGCCGCAAATCTCAGTTTCACACGTAAAAATAAAGTGTTGTTTCAAGTCTTCCATCTGTGCATATTTATTTGCACACCACCCAAGAACGGACGACTTTTGGCATTAAGTCCGCTGATGTACAAAAGTGCAAAAAGTTTAAGTAAATAAAAATCGTAATAGGTACTTTTTAATTATTATATAAATGAATAATTATAATTATTGCGCAACAGGGAAATCGAATTTCGTTAAAGCCAATCCTGCTCGAATTGTTACCGTTAATAGATATAATTATTACTGATTTCTGAAGTCCTTAACTGAATAGTCTTGATGCGGCAGCATTTTGATGTTTACAAGATGGCACAAAACGCGCACGAGAATTTCATAAATTTCTTGAGGGAATTATTTTATCAGTGAATAATTTAAAGAAACGGACCTGTGAACTCGCCTACACGATTAATGTATTTAGAGATGGACATCGATAAAAACCGAAATACATGTTCAACGCATTTTTTTTTGTTTCTTTTTAAAGACAACTCCCCCGCATTATGAATATATATTGTGTCGCGGGAGACTTTACAAACATACATGAAACGGACACAAAGAACACCCAGACTCAGCACAGCAGTAGAAAGCGGCGCTGCGATCGCTTAAACCACTACGCCATCCGTGCAGTCAATATTGTAACACAGT